GTGTTTAGGAAGTGGCTCTCCCATGTAGATTGGTCCAGTTTGAGTTTGATGGTGGGGTGGAAGCTGTTGAAATTATGGTGGAATTCTTCAAGAGTCTCCTTCCCATGTGTCCAGATGATGAAGATGTCATCAATGTAGCGTAGGTAGAGAAGGGGCGTGAGTGGACAAGAGCTGAGGAAGTGTTGTTCCAGGTCAGCTTCCTCAGCTCTCTATTATATAAAATGCATCTTGATGGTTATAAATACCATTGAGCCTCCAAGCTGATTATTTAGTTGTGATTTGATTAATGAACTGGAGAGGCAGACTGACATGATAAATTGATTAGACCACCCTGGCCACCCAGCAGTCTTTTAAGGTCAAGTTTGCTCATCTGTAATATCTCACTAGGATAGTGTTATAAATTAGGGTATTTAAAAAATTCTTACCAGATCTGATTAAAAAATCTTGATTTGCCAAACCAATATATTTTGTCATTTTACTTTAACGGCTTCATTGTAGTGGTTGCATTATGTTCTGTTGCCACAGTAGAATGCATGTGGGAAAACAAATTGGCTTCAACAGGTTCAGAAAAGGTGTCTGAAATGGCTACACAACAAATTACATGCTGCCATTATTTATTTCATCATTTTATTTCTTGAAACGTGGCCACGCATGAAATACCCACTGCGGCTGCTCTCTGAGTGATTGGAATTAAGTCCTGTTGTCTTGGATAATTCCATTAGCTTCTTCTAACGTATCCACTTCTATAAAGGACCCAGAGCAAGTTTTCAAAGGTTATTAGGTGCCTTAAGATGCAAATAAGTGCCTAGTAGGATTTTCAAAAGCACCTAGGCACGTAACTCCCATTGAAATCATACAGGAGTTAGGCACCTAACCTGCTCAGATGTTTTTGACAATTCCACTAAGCACCAACCTGCATTTTTATGTGTCTAAATACCTGTGAAAATCTGGCCCTAGGCTCTTATATTTGTTAGTGCAATGAAATGGATGCATCTGATAATGCTGGGATTTGTCCAGGCTATATAAAATATGCTATCTAATGTTCTGAAATGTAGGTAGGTGGTTGTGACATTCCCCAGGGCACAGTCTGTACCACTGAACAGCAGTGTTCCCTTAACTCTCTGCTGGTCTGCTCACACAACCTTCAGCATGCAAATTCACTCCCAGCTAAATCCATGAGCACTCTGACCAGTCATTCCTCAATTACATACAGGGAGACACCTGCAAATTCTTAGTCCCAGTCTTGTTCCCCAAAAATGTGTGTCTTGTATTGTCCAGCACACTACAGAACAATGCAAGCACATAGAAAGTCCATCATTTCATCAAAGGAAAATGATATATGCTCCAACCTTGTTATCCCAAATAGAGTTTCCCACACACTTCAATCCAAACACACTAGTTAAGATAAAACAATAAGAAAAGTTTATTAACTACAGAAAGATTTTAAGTAATTACAAATTATGATACATAAAAGTCAGGATTGGCAACCAAAGAAAATAAGGGTAATATGCAAACTAACACCTAACTTAACAAGCTAAGTGAACTTAAAAGCAAAGGTTTTGTCTCACCATACACTGCTGTAAATTTCACAGGCTGGGTCTCCTTCCAGCCTGGGATCACTCCCCCTTAATTCAGCATTTGAGAGATGAGCAGAGAGTTGGGAGGAGGAGAGGTGAAATGGGGGGCACTGTCTCTCTCTCTCTCTTAGACCACCCTCCTCTCTTTGAGGATTACCACCAACTGGGGTGCAGGTGACAACTAGTCTCTTGTTGGAGGGTTGTGAGGGTTGAAATGTAAATTTCTTGTTTAAACCTTGTTGCTGACGAAGGGCTATTTAAGCCAATGATAGCTCTTTAACACCTGGGAGGATGCTAGTGTGTCTTACTCTCTGAAAAAACTGGTTTGTGCCTGCTTGTCTTGACCTTGGAGCATGTTATAACAATGATACATAGTAGAATCCAATAACTTCTCATACAATGTTGATACACACATTTTAATAGGATAATGATATTCAGCAGATTATGGCTTTTCGAATATCATCTCATAAGGCATACTTTTAACAAAATTTATCATAGTCTTGTAAAAGTGGTGACCATAATAGTGGTGCTTGCCAAATTAGGAGCATTTAAATGGCCCTCAAAAAGGGTGGGTGGGTGTTTCTTGAGTTCCTCACAGCCAGTGTGGCACGTGTCAGTTCTAGGTTCACAACAGAATGCAGCAGAAATAAAATTAGCCATAAAAATCAGTGACTGATGTAGTCCAGAGACTAAAAAGTGTTAATATATATATATATAAAAAAACCCAAAATGTGGTGTCTTTTTTTGTTTGTTTGTTTGGAAACATAAGAAACATTCATATTGTGCTAAACTGCTATAAAGTTCTTTTGACCAAATTCTATGCAAGCCCAGTCACTTCTGTGTGCCCATTTGACCTTTCTGCCTTGTCCACCCCAGTCTAGCACATTGTCAAGGCTGTAGTCTTAGGAGGCCTTCTCCGCTGTGATTTCCAACTGCAGTGAGAATGACACAATTCTAAGTTGAGAGCATGAGTGTGAAGCATGCTGGGTCCCATTGTCATTTCATGGCTATTTTATACGATCATAACTTCGTTGCTCTCAATGGAGTCACTCCTGCTTTGTAATGGTGTGAGATCGGAATCAAGGACACAAAATACATAGACTACCAAAGTGTATACTTTGTGTTCCAGTGCAAATTTAGGATCAGAGCTGGTTACACTCCTGTTAGCATAGTGAAGAAGCAGATGCTGTTACTTAGGCCGTGGTTTCTTGGAACTATTAGTCCTTTACCCCTAAGGTATTAAAAATAACACATCATATGGTCTATAAATTTCCCTATAGACATGTTATTTTGTACATGACGGACACCTACATATTTCTCTGAAGAATCCAATACTGATCAGACCCAGGGTACTAGATTAAGTGGAATCCTCTCCTGGTTCAGCGCAGTGATTTAATCTTGTGTTTCTGTATAATTATCTGATTGTTCAATCAATTGAGCAATCCAACTAGCTGCATGTTCACAGGTTGTTATAATATACCACAAGAGTTCCCCAGAGTGTTTCTCTTTATCATTTTAAAATGTCCTTGTTCTTTGTTTGGATATAGCAAGGATTGCTCATCTGCAGTGGTACTTGATATCTCCCAAAGAGTATTGTTTATAACAGCAAAAAGAGGCACCTGTGGGGAGCTCTCAGAAATTTGTAGACTATAACCTCTGAGGCTTGTGTCATGTGTTAACAGTATCTCATATCCAGCCACATCAATCATTTTCTTTTATGTAACGAGATAGACACGTGTAGGTATGATGCATCACAATTAGTTCAGGAATCTTGAAATACTGCTTTTCCTTGAAGGGGCAGACTGAATAATCCTATTTGTTGTTGCTGTTTGTTCAAAAGAGTTTTCAGTTTTCCAATTTATTTACTTTCAATTTTGGTTTTAGTTCATTTAACCTTCAGAAAACATTTGTGCTCTATATTGCTTAGGAAAGGAAGGCTTCAGCAGCATGTTGCTGCGTTTATCTCTTGCTGTTTGGCTACGATGTCCACAATAATAAATGTATCCATTTGAAATGGAAGTGATTAAGCTCTGTTGAAATGTCTTCTGGAACAAAACATTAGCTTTTCTTTCAAAGGGCAGATATTGCTACAGATAACATTTAACCCAACTGAGGACAAAGTTGTTACCCTTTAACATCGCTTACCTTTCTGCTCGCCTCAGGGAAACAGGGACAATATCTGCATTCAAGTGTTTCACTTTCTTAAAACATGAAAATAATTATCTGTACAGACTTCAAAGTTGCAAGTGATGACTGAACCTGTTTCATCTTTAAAAACACATTTTTACACTCTCACTTTATTGTGAGTTATGCCTTTGAACTTGAAAATCTGAAAGATTTCATGAAGGGATCAGGAAGCTAGGAATGCAACGGGGTTTGCATAGACCTTCATATCTGGAGGCCTGTTTCAAATCTCCATTTTTGTTGCAAGTGCAAATGGGTGTGGTAGTCTCATTTTAACCCCTGTCCATCTCACAAATGATCACATAAGATTTGGTATGGCTGGCATTCTCTTCTCAAAAGAAGTTGAAGTATGGAATTAGCTGAGGGCACTGCTGTTCAAGACAGAGGTACGGCATAACAGAATAGGATCTCGCATTTGAAATAGCAGCTAAAATGTTGGCTGGGACTGAGTTGCATTGATAGATTTGCATGAGGAAACTTTCATGTTACCTGCCCAAACCATGATTGAAAGCTCTTTGAGGCAGGGCCTATTTTTTTGTTCCATTTGTACAGTGCCTAGGGCAATGGACTGAGGTCCTTAGGCACCAAGGCAATACTATTTATATTAATAAATAATAATGTTTGGGTCAAACAAGTGCTAATAATTCATCAACACCCTGAGCAATAAATTATTTCCTAATTTAAAGAAGAAAGGGATGTGTAAAATAATCATGGTCAGATACAAAAACCACTATTGAGCACTTTTATAGAGCTTTGTATTCTTGAAAGTCTGTACAAACATTAACTATTCTGATGTATTAACTAATTAATCTGACTTAAGTAATGTAAGGATGCACGACAAGTGCGAAACTTATTGAATTTTCACTCTGCTCCATCGCTTTAAAGAATGTGTTTTAAGAGGAATTTGTTTAAAATGTGTTACACATGTGTGCCAGTTGTGATATTTGTCAGCATTGGTTTGACTTTTGTTAATTTCAACGAGAGGTCTCCTCTTTACCAGCATGTGTAGAGATGTAACCACAGACTTACAGGCTAAATACCATAGCATTGTGTCAAAAAATTATCCATGAAAATGTTAACATTGCTCTTTTCCAGCCTAAAGTGCAGTAATTGTTATCTGCTTCTACCAGTAGGATTCCAGGTCTTGGAAATAACATGATCAAAAGAATTTATTCTGCATGAAAATAGCAGCAGGACAAAGGGGTCTAAAGATCTTCTTTCATTTCTTTTATTATTCAGATTTGTGATAAAGAATGGCACTACTACGTCGTCAATGTTGAGTTTCCTGTGGTTACCTTATATATGGACGGCACGACATATGAGCCTTACCTTGTGACAAATGATTGGCCTATTCATCCATCACACATAGCCATGCAGCTAACTGTTGGTGCTTGCTGGCAAGGTAACACAATCAAGGGTGCATAAACTGAGAGAAAGTATTTAAATCCCGTTTAAAGAGTGTTTTTTCCCCCCTGTCTGCCTCTCTCACGTGAAGTGCACCAAGAATAATTTTTTTTAAGGAATTGTGGGGCTGACGGGAGCTGATTCTGCTTTCACTTACACTGGTATAAAACAGAAGAAACACCACTGAAATCAGTGAAGTTCCACAATGGTAAAAGTAGTGGAACTGAGAGCAGAAGCAGGCCCTATATTTCCATTATCCAATAATGTACTTGGCTTGCATTGTGCATGTACTGAGATGAGGCTAATCTTCATTACCTTTTGTCTTGAGTTCTCTAACCTCCTTCTTTTTGGTCTCCAGCTTCAAGCCCCTCCAAATATTATTCATGTCCTCAAAACCCTACACAGCTTGCCCTGCTTATATATTAGCCTTACTTGCCTCCTGCTCCCCTTCTTATGCCGTGAATTCTTCCCAGTCCTCCTTCCTGTCCTTATGCCACTTGTACTTCTGTCTCTTATTTCACATCATTTTCATGCACTGGGAACTTCCTCCATCAGATTCCCTCTAAAGTTCACTTCTTTCAGTTAGATTTCCATGGTTAACCTTCCCTCTGTTGACGTCTACTCATGCACAGGAACCTAACTTTAAAAAAAACAACTTCCTAATATGAAATAGAACAACGTGTACAATTTGCTCAACATACGGAAAAATACTTTCCCAGGGGATGTATTCCCTTTCTGTTGTTAAATGTTTTCTCTCTCCTGTTACCCAGGGTTTTTTGAACCCAAAGCAATGGTAACATAACTGTGTTTTGTTTTGTTTTGTTTTAAGGTGGTGTTAGGAATAAATCAATGGGGACACAACTTCTTTGTTTAATAAATAATTAATGCAAACCAGAGTGCTTTTACGTAAAACTACTTTTTTATTAGGCTTTAAATAAACATGCATATATGCTATAGCAATAGGTTTAGAGCACCCCAAACATTATAGTTACCCACAGTTTGAGATGGTCTTGAGTAATTACCAGCCGGTCTTCGGGGGCCCTCCTTCTGTCCAGCTGATGGGGAGTTTAGGTGTTAACTCCTTGCCCAAAGAAAAGCTTTTTTGGACTGCTCCAAAGTGGTTTTTTTTTAAATTTTTTATAGATAATTTAAATAAAGCACATAATTTATAATAATTTTAGTGGGTTATTATAGCCACCTCCAGTGGCTTACCATTTTTTTTTAATTTAGGAAATTTCATGTTTTTTTTTTATTATTAAAGCATTTTTAGTATTTTTAGTTATAACAATAACAAAATGTATATGACAAGGGCACTTAAAACCAAGATCAGCTGTTTAAACATTTTCTTTTATTTTTATGGTGTATATTAACTTTTTGTTTTCTTTTTATTTATTTATTTCAATTAGCAAAACTGCATTTATGTAGCTGTTTGGCCTTGCCGTTTAGAGCCCTAAAATTATTTCTAGCTATCTGGTATCTGGTTTTTAGCTAGTAGTGGTTAAACACACAAAATGGCTGACTGTAGTAATGTCAAGTGAGGGGCATAACTCCCACCTCCTCCTATATCCACCTTACCAGCTTTAATTTGTCGAAATAATGCAATATAATCACACCAGTTTCACTTATTTTGGTAATTTACTTAAACTGCTATGCAGAAAAAAATCACAATAACTGTTCATCATTTCCTAAATACATGAAAGTTAAATTACAAATACCTGGTAACCAATACCCTGCATTCCAGTTATTATCCTGGATTTTCATTTAAATTACATTACTTTTATTTTGTTTGGTGTTCTGTAAAGTAGAATGTTGTTTAAATTGCTCAGACTTTCACACATGAAAGTCATACAGTTTTGCTAATCATTGTCCTGAATTTTTTTTTAAATGGATAAGTAAAATAGATCTTGAGCTGTAATCTAACCCCATTGTGCCTCTCTGGCACAGGAAAAAAAGCCAGAAAACACATAGACCTTCCTAGTTTAGGATTCCGTTATTGTCATTTACAATAAGGCTCCTTTACACCTCTCTGGCAAGGTAAAGGAGCTTTAATTGACTAAGGCCTGGTCTACACTAGGCGTTTATGTCGAATTTAGCGCCGTTACATCGAATTAATTCTGCACCCGTCCACACCACGAAGCTATTTAGTTCGACATAGAGGTCTCTTAAATTCGATTTCTGTACTCCTCCCCAACGAGGGGAGTAGCGCTATGGCCATGTCGAATTAGGCTAGGTGTGGATGGAAATCGACGCTAATAGCTCCGGGAGCTATCCCACAGTGCACCACTCTGTTGACGCTCTGGACAGCAGTCCGAGCTCGGATGCTCTGACCAGCCACACAGGAAAAGCCCTGGGAAAATTTGAATTCCTTTTCCTGTCTGGGCAGTTTGAATCTCATTTCCTGTTTGGACATCGTGGCGACCTCAGCAGCACTGGCAACGATGCAGAGCTCTCCAGCAGAGATGGCCGTGCAATCTCAGACTAGAAAGAGGGCCACAGCATGGACTGATCGGGAAGTCTTGGATCTCATCGCTGTGTGGGGTGATGAGTCCATGCTTTCCGAGCTGCACTCCAAAAGACGGAATGCAAAGATCTATGAGAAGATCTCTAAAGCCATGGCAGAGAGAGGATACAGCCGGGATGCAACGCAGTGCCGCGTGAAAATCAAGGAGCTGAGACAAGGCTACCAGAAGACCAAAGAGGCAAACGGACGCTCCGGATCCCAGCCCCAGACATCCCGTTTCTACGAGGCACTGCATTCCATCCTAGGTGCGGCCGCCACCACGACCCCACCACTGACCGTGGACTCTGAGGATGGGATATTGTCAACGGCCGGTTCCTCGGACATGTTAGCGGACGGGGAAGATGAGGAAGGAGATGAGGAGGACGAGGCAGTCGACAGCGCTTGCAACGCTGATTTCCCCGACAGCCAGGATCTCTTCATCACCCTTACAGAGATCCCCCACCAACCGTCCCCAGCCGTTAACCTGGACACAGAATCAGGGGAAGGATCATCCAGTAAGTGTTTTAAACATCTAAACATTTATTTTTAACAGAACAGGAATATTAACAATAACAACAATGGGTTTCTCATGATTAGTTTGCCCTAGGCGCTTAACGTTTCAGTCCTGGGCAGTGCAACTATTCAAAAAAAATCTAACAATGTTTAGTCCCTGCCAGTGCAGCTACAGTAAAATGCGGTCTATATGTCCGGGGATAGAGCTGAAATCCTCAATGGACATCTCCACGAAGCTCTCCTGGAGGTAATTGGAAAGCCTTTGCATCAGGTTCCTGGGGAGAGCGGCCTTATTGGGTCCTCCGTAGTAGCAGACATTTCCGCGCCAGGAGACAAGCAAGTACTCCGGGATCATTGCCCTGCAGAGCATGGCGGCATACGGCCCTGGTCTTTGCAGGCTTTCCCGAAGCATTCTTTCTTTATCAGTGTCTGAGATCCTCATCAGGGTGATGTCGCTCATGGTGACCTGCTTTGAATTAGGTAGGGGAATGTTAGTATTGGGACTGCTTGCCCGTTCCTTTACAGAACTGTAACCGCCGGTTTACAGCCACGCGGTGGAGGCGGGAGAGGGGCAGCATACAGGGATCTTTCCCTGGGACAGCCGCGAGGGGGTGGGACAGGGGCAGAGTTCATGCTTGCCGGATTGCTGGCAGCAGGGACTGGCATTGCTTTCAATGTGAAAGGAGGCCAGTGCTACTATTAAAGTTTTAAGCAGCCACAAGTCTACGGCTTACCGTGTCTGCCTGCTACACAAATTCCGGTGTCCTGCCCCGCTTCTCAGATCTGCAGTGCAAGACCCCAGGCACTGAATGCGAAGGCCGAAAATTCGACCTTGTCCTGAGTGCGCATGTGATAGGTGCTGTGCATGGTCTTGTTCACAGAGAAAGACTATGTTCTTTGTTCACAACTACATTTATCTTTCTGAGGAATTCACTCCCTTTTTCCCATTCCCACAGCCACAGCTGCGACTGTCTCACAACCTAGCCTGGCATCACACTCCCAGAGGCTAGCGCAGATTAGGCGTAGGAAGAAGAGGACACGGGAGGACATGTTCTCGGAACTTATGGGCTGCTCCCGAGCCCAGGCAGCACAGCAGACCCAGTGGAGGGAGAACTTGTCCCAAATGCACCGTTCACACATGGAACGGGAGGAGAGGTGGCGGCAGGAAGACCAGCAGGCGACTCAAACGCTGCTTGGACTAATGAGGGAGCAAACGGACACGCTCCGGCGCCTTGTGGATGTTCTGCAGGACCGGAGGCAGGAGGACAGAGCCCCGCTGCAGTCTATCTGTAACCGCCCTCCCCCGCCACCAAGTCCCATACCCCCCTCACCCAAAGTCCAAAGAAGGAGGGGCGGCAGAGTCCGTGAAAACTCTCACTCCACCCCTGCAGAGTGCTCTAGTACTAGAAGGCTCTCATTCCCCAAAAGATGACAAGTCCTTTCCTTCCCGCCTCACACAAGCCTCCGTCCAAGTTTCACCCCCCAGTTTCATGTGTAGTTGCTAATAAAAAATACGTTTCTGTTAATTACTGTTTCCATCATGTTCTCTTACAGGAGAGTCTGTCTGAAGGGGGGGAAGGGGGTTGGTAATTGGACAGGAGAGTCACCTTTACCAGGGTACAGAGGCGGGGGCAGGTTCAGCAGCAGGGCACACACACATTGCAGTCACTAGTTACCCTGGTCAGTCTGGGAGGTGGTTTTAGTGTTCTGTGGGGGGTGGGGGGTGCTCTGTGACTTTGTGGCGGGGGAGGGCAGTTACAGATCTTATGCAGCGGTCCTTATCCTGGATCACAGAGCCACGCAGCAGGGGATCTGTAACCGTCCTCCCCCTGCCACAAAGTCACATAGCCCCCCCCCACACAGAGTCCCGAACAGGAGGGGTGGCAGGGTCCGTTGAAACCCCCAGTCCACCACTGCGGAGCCTGTCATTCCTAGACTTTGGAAGCGTCATTTGCATCACTACACTACACCCGCTCCCCACCACA